TTCTCTTCTATTCACTTTACTTCTCTTCATTTCTTTTCACTTCACTTCACTTCTCTCTCTGCTCTGCTCTAGTCTCCTCTTCTCTCCTCTCCTCTTCTCTCCTCTCCTCTTCTCTCCTCTGCCCTATTCTGCCCTGCCCTGCCCTGTGCTGTACTGTACTGTAGTGTATTATACAGTAATGTACTGTGCTCTTCCATGATCCTTATTTCTTGTTTCAGAAATCCAAGCAGTCCATTATCCAAGCACTAGTGAAGCAAAACTTTGCAGCAATGACAAGGCTGGAAAAGCAAAAACTTGAGGTGTGTTCTACTATCAAGAGGATCAAAATGTAACCAGGGTCTGCCGCAATCAGAATAAAACGAATCTCTCTTCAAAAGATTGATTGCTTGTTTCATTTTCCTTTTTTCAACAGATGGCATTTTCCCTCCATGTTTGATGTGCTTAATTGTATTATGTTTCATTTTAATTTCTCTCTCAGCTGTTGCACTATATGCAAAACAAAGTGTGCACTCACCAGGCGCATGTCGCAGCTATGGCAATTCGTCTTCAAAAGGCAGTGTCGTGTGATGTTGACAAGTTTGCTGCTGTGCCAATGACACGCCTTCTTCACCTTAGCATGGAAAGGTGGGCAACACTTAACCAGGACCCTCCCATCTCACTCCTATTTTCTTAAATTACCTCAAATGATCCCAGAATGCTGAGCAAAATTGGATATGCATGATGCATAATAAATCTATGAATGTATTTGAGAATGGACTTTCAATTTAGATAAGCTAATGCATTGTGGTCTAGGTTGGGTACAGACATCTTTTGTTCAGTGTTTTGTTGTTTGTACCCAAGACCATAAAGCAATATATCTGACGTTGTGGCCATTCACATGTTTATGTACAAATAATTAACAATTATATCAAAAACAATTTCCCTTTTTGTCTAGTGGGCAAAGGATTCCCATGGATGATTTGTCTATCTATCGGCTGGAGGATCTACAGAGCCGATCAGGAGGGGAACCCATTGGACAAATACTGGACAAGCTTGATTTCCCATCCTATAAGGTAAATATATGTTATTTACCGGCCAGGAGGTCTGGATAGGGAAAAACTGTGCCCAAGGTCTTGAATATACAGATCGAGGCCCTTAGGCCGAGGTCCTTTTTCAAGACTGAGGGCACAGTTTTTCCCTATCCGGAACAACTATAGGACGGTAAATAACTTATTTATTTTTTTACTTGTTTTCGTAATAGTTTTGTTTTGTTGTTTAGCGGCAAAGGATATTGGACCGCAAGCGCGGGCAGATAATGACAAAATACCACCAACTCAAATAGCCAATCAGAACGCACGATTTTTTAGGATACCGGACCGAAAAAAAATAAAGTCTATTATTTGGGCATATGCCCATCCCCATACTTGCCCTTGAGTGAAACATTCCTTATCATGCTAGTAGTAACCAAGGTATTTTTGTGTACACTATAGACTCTATGCTTATAGTCTATCTATTTTACTAGGCACCTGAAGAACTTCTTTCTGCAACTGTTGAACTCAGGAATCTGAGTGAGTATTGTGACTGATATACGACAGTGATGGAGCAAATATTGTATAACTGAAAAATGTATTATATGGACATGCCATGCTGCGTCTTGCCATATCCATGAAAGTCACCATGTCTGAGGATTTTCTTTGATTAGCTAAGTATGATCCCACAATCATTTCGATTGCAATTCGTGTGTAATGTTTTCCCATTTCAGATGTCATTTCTTTATTTATTGGTTACATATGAGAAGGCAAATAAATATCGATACAACTAAAAAAATATGTTGTAACGAAATATATAATAAAATATAACGATGTTAAATTTGTTTCATTTTGTAGTTCAGTCATTTATGGGATTTGAATGCAGTTAAGGGGGCTCACCCTCTCCTAGATCCATCCATTTGATTGCAGTTAAAGGGGCTCACCCTCTCCTCGATCCATCCATTTGATTGCAGTTAAAGGGGCTCACCCTCTCCTAGATCCACCCCTAAATGATAGTGTTATTTTTTGTATTCAGTGGAGGATACAGCAGTACTTGTAAACAGCAGACAACAAGACATTATTGAACAAAATGAAACCAGTTCTGCAGATAGAATTGTCAGTCATCTAAACAGTGAGTATCTGTCCTAAATTAAATTTAAGCTACGATTTCTGCACCTACAGTACTTCAACTCTTCACTGGCCTTCAAAACATGTTGGCAACTTCTTCCAACCCCATCCTTCTCACAGACACTAACCCCTCCCCCCGCCACCCCAGCTCCACAATGAGCTACCTGTGTTACATACATTAATGTTACCAAGAGAAACTGACAGAAAGTGACCTCTCTCCCAACGCTCCTCCCTCTCATGTCACAGGGATGCCAAGCAACAACAAAAAAGGGAAACAAAAAGAGAAAAGAGAAACGTCTAAGTAGAAGGCTGACTACACTGTATAGGGTTAGGTGTTACTATAATGTAGGGCTTTTCCAATATTATGTGTTTTGTCTTTTGTTTCAGCTTTGCGACATGAAGTCAGCCAACAAGACAACCATGAATTAAATCATGTCTTACCACATGTCCAGGATGGGTTAGGCAAAGCTACTAAGGCCCTGTCAAAATGCATTGCGGTCAAGGACAGCGCAAATGTTTGGTATGTAGGGTTATGATTTCTTTGATTATCACTAGAGTTTAAAGAAAGGTGCCTTGCTTTGCTGTGCCATACCAATGTTGGTGCTATGTATGCACACCATGACTTGCTGTAATCCAAGCCGTGATTGTGCATAGCCACTATGACACTTCCATGTCATACCATACGCAATGCAACTTGTCGTCAATTGCATTGTGACCGTGCCGTGCCTAAATGATAGTTCCATTTCATACCATGTACACTGCGACTTGCTGTCAATTGTGCTGTGACAGTGTTGTGTGGCAATAACGAAATCTATTGCGTTAAAATGTGTCACGTCAAGGCTGCTTAAGGTAGTTGTATTCGTAGCCCAAAATGTTTAATCTGTGGTAACGTGGGTGTCTTCAGCTCCCTGGGCGAGGAAAATCTCACGCAGGCTAGACACATTTACTTTCCTTTTAGCTCCAAATTAAAGTATAATGAATATAAATCATATTTAAATTGAATATTTGGAGGCTGAAAAAACGCAAATAAAGCAACAATGACAGCAGTTACATGCAATTAGTAAGACACGCGAACTAAACTTGATAAGTCTGTTGGTGGGAAAGTTCAAACGTAACGAGAACGGATACGGAAATGCAGAAACTCGCGATCAGTTCTGAGGCGCAGAGCAGATAACTAGCCAAGTAAGTTCAATGGTTCAATGTAATCTATAGTTACAATAAAAGTATGTTAAGTATGAGAATAACTTCAAGAGTAACCCTAAATTGGTTCCTGTACATTGTACAAATTACATGACAAGTTAACCGCAAGGGCGTGTAAGTTTTCTTTAGTAAGTGTTTTGCAGCATAACTTTGCAAAATAACAGCTGTAGGAAGAATCAAGATTCGTCTGCTTATCTTTTATGCGAAATAGTGAGCATTTAAGTTTCATCGATGCCCTGAAACAACCTCTGGGCTGATCTAAGTCAGGACATGGTTAACTCACAGATCGAACCCTGCATAAACAACCTCTGGGCTGGCCTAAGTCAGGGCATGGCTAACTTACAGATCGAACCCTGAAACAACCTCTGGGCTGATATAAGTCAGGGTATGACTAACTTACAGATCGAACCCTGAAACAATCTCTGGGCTGATTAACTGAAAGTCAGGGCACGGCTGACTCTAAGATTGATATGGAATGTATATAGTGTTAAGTTATGCGGATGTAGGTCCGGAAAACTAAAATAACGAGGGATCAAAGCGGCTGGATACAGGCTAAACGGAACAGATGTTTTCAGATGCCTCTGGCGTATAGCATGGCTGACAATGCACAGAAACTAATTTCTCGGGTTATATTCACGCTTATAATACGTTCTGATTGGACAAGAAGAGTACAATTAAATCCCAAATTGTACTCTGTAGAGTCCCAATTAAATAGCTCAACTTAAATAAATCGCACAATCGTGTCGTACAATTCGGAGTTTATAGATACTCGTAGTGTTTTGAAAGTTCTCAAATTGGACTCCCCTAAATGCTCGTCCAATTTTAAAAACTTTCAAAACAATCGTACCCATAAATTCTGAATTGTACTCGAGATTGTGCGATTTCCTATACAAATCGTCCAAGAAGCACCGCGCAGTCCTTTGAACTTACTCCTGTAGATAAGCGTTACGCACTTGCTTTACCGACCAGAGATTTGATAACATAATTCTCAGTGTATGCTATTACGTTTTCATGCTCTCACTTTCTCTAAAGTAGCGAGACTGCAAGAAGGGGAAGCTGTTTCCTAAAGAAAGCGCGGGAGTCAAAATATTTTTGATCGCCAATTTTAAACTCGTATATAACATTTGATATGAGCCATAAAGGTTGTATCTGTCAGTTGGAGTAGTCCATTACTGCACTTAACTTGTAGTTCCTAACATACCTCGTCTACCACGCCTATCCACCCCTATATTAAACTGTAATGATTCTCCTGAGGCAGAAGCCTTTATTGTCTCTGTTTATCTTCTGTAACACTGAGGATAACAGCTGTTAGTAGGGTGCAGATGTAGCTGATAAACTGCGGTTTTTGTCAACTGGGCGTGGATGCTAATGGGAGGTCTGTCCCTGCAATTAATTTTAATGTAATTGAGAGAAAAACAACAGAAAATACTGATCAAGCTATTTCAGTTTCGTATCACTTTCGTGTATATTATGAACAGGTTGTGTGCGCTGCTATTAGAGACTTTTAGCATCAGATTTACCACTAACCTCTCGGGATCAGGCCCAGAAACACGCCCGCAAACACGGAGAAACGCTCAACATCAATGAAATTCAATATGGCAGCTCTTCCAGCAACAACTTCGTCATGTCGCCTTACTAAATGTCGAACGTTTGACGAAAAACGCCGTGGTCATGGGTTCGATCCCCATTCCCGGACTCATTATCGTTTGATTAGAGTCGTTAGAATCTCTTTACCTTCTAGTACCCTCTGACAACCCAAGACACCGAGCTTTTAATCTCATGCGCTTGTCAAACTACGGGTTACGCGAGCTATATCAGTCTGTTAATCATCGAACTCCTTTTGAATAAAAGCTCATTGGTAATTCCAATAATAAATAAAATTAATAATAATCTCTTGTACCACAGGTGGGAACAGCCCGCCCAGTATGTTGTGCCATGGGTCAAGGTTAGCGACATGAACACAAGACAGTGGCTGGACCAGTGGACATTGAATGCTACTAGACTGCGCCAACTACAGATGCAGCATTAGATTATGACAGATAGTGGCCATGAGACTCTTAGACCAAACTGGTAAGATGCTAGTGTATGTGAGCCTCCGGTACTAGTGTTTTTACCATGGGTGTATGATTTAAACAACACCCATGGTATATTCATAGTATA